GCCCGGTGGCTCTGTCGCGCCGGGCCAGTCCACCCCTGCATTAGAGTGTGCCTAATGCAGACTTGGCGGGCGCACATAAATGCCCCGGCGGGCGCCATGGCGGGGACCACAGGTCTAGATCATCCTTGAGAGATGTCTATCTCACCTGCTCTTAAACATCTCCAGTGATGGAGATTCTACAACCTCCCTAGGCAATTTATTCCAGTGTTTAACCATGCTCACACATGGGAATCTTTTCCTAATGTCCAACCTAAACCTTCCTTGCTGCAGTTTAAGACCATTGCTTCTTATTCTATCATCAGCAGCCAAGGAGAACAATTTTTCTTCCTTCTGCTTGTAATATCCTTTAAGATACTTGAAAAATAATTTTTGTTGCTCTTCTCTGGCCCTTCTCTAGTTTCTCCATATCTTTCTTGAAATGTGGTGCCCAGAACTGGACACGCTACTGCAACCGAAGCTTAATCAGCGCTAGGGATGTGAACAACTAGTCAACTATCCGATAAGCAAATGCTTATTGGAGAGTTGACACGCTAGTCGACTAGTTGCTTTCCCCGCCCCTTGCTACCTCTATCAGAAAGAGGCAGTGGGAAGGGGGAATAGGAGGAGATGCTTCAAAGCAGTAGTGCTGTATGGAGCCCAGGGCCAGATCCCAAGCTGCACACGGCATGGCCCTGGCTGCACATGGCATTTCAAAGCAGCAGCGCTGCATGTAGCCCGCAGTCTGCCTCTTTGAAACGCCATAGATGCATACGGACAGCGGGGGACTGCTTGAGTTCCTGGCTGGCCCTGTGCTCCCCTCAGTGCTTTTGCCTTTGAAGTAGCAATAGCCCTAGGGCTGTTGTTACTCTTCAAAGGCAGAAGTGCCCTTACTTTACATTCCTAATCAGTGCATAACAGAGTAGAACTTCTCAGTGTCTTGCTAACAGCACTCCTGTTAATGTATCCCAGAATCATGTTTCCATTTTTTTCCAACATTGTCACCCTTAAATTAAAAACAAAAAGCATCGCTTTACAAAAGCACTTCTAAGTAATCATCTAACATCTTTAGTATTACGAATTAAACATTTTTCAGCTTGACTAGGAAGCTTTCAGCAAGAATGGCTAATAACCTTGAGTCAGAGTTTTTACTTTTTCTTCCTATTGGAAGAGAAGCTTAATTATGCATAATTACAAGCTGCTTAGGTGTAATTAATATTTTGTATAATCACCAGCAGAGGGCACTTATGCATTGCTGTTGTTCTTTTCAATCTGTACAAAGTACTGATTTTGAAAAAAAATCTAAAGAACCTTACTTTGGTAAATTAAATCCTAAAGAAAAAGGACCCATTCTCATTTTCTCACTGAAAGAGCACATTTAATGGAAATTTCATTAACTTTCAGCCTGTAAATGTTGTTTAATTATATTAGAAAACTCATTCTTAATGTAATAAACCAAACCATGCTTGTTTTAAAATATATTTTCTCTTGGCATAAAATTCACCTAGTTCTAAAGGAGGTATATAGACAAAGCTGAATCCCACGTGCTGTGTTTTCAAAGACTTTGACTTTAAGGTATTGTACTATGGTCAGCTGTCTGAACTTTTTGAAAAAGTACTGTTTTGCAGGGAACCCATATTGCAATTGAGCAGGTAGTAGCTTAGAAGCTTATCTGCAGTTTCCATTAAAGTTTTAATACATTTGTTTTCAATCCCTATGTTGCTGCTGCATTATTCACCTGTAAGTTCTCAATATGTGCTAAGACAGCATCTTTTATTGCATGTTTGTATACAAATCTTAAGGCTTTCAAACAATTTGATTAAATCAACAAGCTCTTTGCTATTAAATCATGTTGAATCTGTAACATTTTTAAATAGTTTAACAGACGTTTCAGCTCCTTTTAACATGTTTGTGTTTGGTATAATTTTCATTTGTTCTGCCACAAAACAGAAGCAAAAAGTAATGTTCTGTGCATGGTTTTTAGTAGCAATATACTAACTTTCCCATCTTGGCTTACCTGGAATGGGGGACAGATTTATAGAAAGGTTTGAACCCATAGCCTAGACCAAGGGTTTCCAAACTTTTTGACACTGGGACCAGTAAATCCACTCTCAGTCTTTTGGAGGACTGGTAACATTCATTTGCATATTCATTAAACAAATTATGAATATTCAAATAAGTTGTTTCTGGTGCTCCCAAAGCCCCCAGTGTCAGCGTTAGCAAAGCTTTTGATACAGTGACCCACAATATTCTTGCCAGCAAGTTAAGGGAATATGGATTGGATAAATAGACTGTAAGATGGATAGAAAAGCTGGCTAGATCAGGGTTTCCCAAACTTTTTACTTTAGTTGGAACCCGTGTTTTTTCAGTACTGTTTTTTGCAGCCCAAAAATATAAACACATATAAAAAAAGAATTAAAATGAATACATTTTCAGTGTTTCACCAGGCTGCATCCTCCTCCCAGCCTCGGCCAGGGCTTGGGGGACCCAGCGCCACATGGGCACTCCAGGAAGCGGGAACAGGAGCAGATTGGGGGTAGGGTATCTGGCTAGGAGGGAGGGTGCAAGGAGGGATAGGGTTGCCAGGTGTCCAGTTTTGTATCGGACAGTCCAGTATTTGAGGGTTTTGTCTGGGAAACAAATTAGAAAATACCGGACATTTTATATGTCCGGTATTTTCTCAATTAGGTAAGTTTTATTATAATTAGGCGTATCAGTCCTTAGCTGTGAACTGCCTGGCTGGTAGATGTGCTCACGCTGCCTGAGTGTGTCTACCAGCCAGGCAGTTCGCAACTACTTGAGGGAGGGTGTGGAGGAGGGGGGGGCAAAATGGAATCCCCGGGGCCCGACTCACTAGTGTGCCCCAGTTTGCATGTACCCAAGTCAGTCCCAGTCTCCCCCTTCTCC